ACATGCCGCTGTGGGTCCCGCCCAAAAGCCGTTAGCCCGTGACCGAACTGAAATGGTTTTAAGGCAGGAGCTGCACTGGGTCACGCTGAACCCACACGGGAGCCACCAGGAGCAGCACATGCCACCACCAGCACACTGCAGCCCAGCCTCCCAGAGGTGGCTGTAGCCATAACTTGCTCTGAGGCAGGGGGGCGCTGACGCTGCCAGGGATGCGGCCATGGTGCTCCATCACCGAGCGTCCCACTGGAGCACCACACACAGCTGCACACTGAGCCCTGGCACAACAGGGGCACGGGAGCCAAAGGCAGGGGAAAGAAAAGTCATTTTTAGTACAAATCCCTGTATTGATGCTTTTAAACCTCCCGACCCCTGTTCTGGAGCAGGGTGACCCTGAAAAGCTGCTGCTCCCTGCCCAGGACTGCTGACATCTCACCGAGGGGACATGGCAGCACCCAGGGCCCAGCTTACGGCAAGGGCTCAATGGTCAGGACCCAGCTGCATTCCCAGGACTCCTGTTTGGCTACTGCCCCAGCAGAGCTTGGGAGCCGCAAAAGAGGGGTAGGAGAAGGAGAGAGTTTAATAGTCCAGCTTTTGCTGAATACAAAACCATTTCTCTCTACCACTAAGACTGTTAGCAGGGGATCTGGCTACCCGGAGCATCTGGGCTTATCCAAGACCTCGTTCAGCTCATCCCTGCACCATGTGGACAATCCCCAGGCAAAGCCTCAGCCTGGGCAGGGCGAAGCACGCTCCAGGAGCCAAGGACCAGTGTGAACACAGAGCTGGCTCCATTTTAGGGAAGCTGTTGAACCGCTACTGCAGCTGTATCAGGACCAACCACCCCCAGTGGCGACCAAATCCACTTCTTGGACCCCATGTCCCAAATCTCAACGCCACGATGGCCACACCGAGTGCCACCAGCACCGAGCTCCCCAATGCAGCGTGCCAAGGCTGGGCTTGCCACGGCAAACACCATCTCCTCCAAGCCTAATAATCCGCAGCCTCAGAGGCACTAAGGCAGCTCCAGGCTGGGAGCATGATGGAGGGGGGTGCAAACACATTTCATCTG